ACAAACCACAGTCTGAAGACATGTTTGTGGTTTACGAACCTTGATCCTTGACCTGGTTTTAACAGTGACTTGGCACCCTTCCTTAACCATGTTGTCTTCAGCCAGCTGTTGAGCATATGAACACCCTTTAGTAGTTTTTAGAAACCACCCAACTGAATGTTCTCCATGACTTTGGGAAGACAAGCTGCTCTTCATCCTATGGTGAAAGCTTTAATGAAATCTCCAGGTGCTTACTTGGTTCTCTACTGCATTTGTAGAGTGTGAGCCAGAATGGTTCAGAATCAGAATGGTTCCTGTGGGCATATTCAGATGCAGATAGGAACCATTCTGATTGCAGCCGCTGCTTGCACTCACCGCTCAGCATATTCATGAGGAAGCGGTACCATTAATGCATTTCACCATCATGTGAAAAACAAACAGAAGAAATGATATCTGCTTCATGCTGTGCTAAGTTGTACCTGATTAAATAAGGGTGAATTTTTCCATTACTAGTCTAGGCAAATTCAGAAGGATCTTACCTGGATTAATAGCATACTTCCATTTTCAGGAGCAGAAGGCTAAATATCCAAAGCTGGTGTTAGCAGATGTTGGAGGTACCACTACTGCTGGAGGATTTGTTTACTGTGTTTAATCTAAGTTACCCATCCTGCAGGATGCAAGCATGCATCCACACTACATGTTTGCATTTGTGATTTTGTAATTACGCTCACATTGAAAGAAGAGTGGGGGAGAAGGGCAGGTTTTGGTTCACTTTTTTAAGATAAGCCAGTATCCCATTTGCCCCTCAGTTTCTCCCACAGTGCGCAGATAAATAGCTGAATGGACTTGATTCCTCCATAAAAAGGGGACATACAGTGAAAATATTGCTTAAGGATTCCTACTCAGCTCATGTTTCTTGGTATGAACTTCATTAATTTTGGTCCTGCTTTTACAGCCTTGACTAAGTATATTTAATTGGAAATATGTAATGCATTCAGTGACACTCATTTTCTAGTAAGACTGCTTAAGATAGAAGGTTTGCTCTCGTGCAAGATATTATAGACCACCTTAACATGTTCAAACGATAAGCATGAATAAACAGGTTTGTTCTGGTGCTATTGGAGTTTCAGAGATAACTGAAGGGAGAACCCATTGTAATTCTCAGATTTACACTTTACTACTATATTTTTGTCAAGAGTCTCAAATAACATTTTCAATGAATTTTGTTGAATTCCCAGAACAGAATAGAGTTGCTTGTTCCCAAGTTTAGCTGCTTAAAAGCTACAATCAGATTTTCAAGTCGCACTGTGCCAGTCGCCTACACTAACTAAAACCCCTGTTACAAGTCAAGAACATAACTAAGCCCTTAAAATGCAGCCATGGAGTGGCAAAGATGTAGTCTCTTCTGTTTCCATGTGCTTGACAAACAGGCTAGCCTCCTGCTCTTGAAGAGTAGAATTAGGCTAGCTGTGTGGGCAGGTCTTTCTGTGACTGCAAGGAACATGCAGGAATGGAAGGTATGCTCAGCTCTTTCTGTGCTCCATTGGGTCACTTTGCGACATCATATGAAGCAAATTTGCATGATAGCTAAAACAGCAGAGTTTTATTCTTCTGCCACAGTTTAAAAGTACTGTGTGTTCTTTGTAGTATTCTGAAACATTACGTAGATTTACTTCTGCATCTTGTGCTTTTTAGTATCTTCATAATTAACAAAATACAATGGGTGATAGTGATGTCCTGCTTGTGCAGAGAAAATCCACTTGTGCAACTGCCCCTTCAGCGCCCCCTGCACCCCAGTCCTACTGAGCAGATTTTGGGGGGGGTGGGGGACTGGGGGGAAAGGAGAGAAAGTAAAAGATCTATTGCTCAGGTGGAGGCTGCCTTGTGTGAGCAGACACTCAGTCAGGCTATACTGAATCTCGCGCATAAAGACAAACCTCGTGCTGTTAGATTCTAACGAAAATCTTAAGCCATGGGAACATTTTTGCTTTTATATGTGTTGTTGTTGTTGTTGTTGTTGTTGTTGTTGTCCCTCTCACTTTTTCTTCTTTTTTCCTGTATCACTTTTTTTCTTTTAACTGAAATCACCTTAATAAAATGCAATTTTAAAAAAAGCCATGGCAACATCTGGATGGCAGTGCTGTTTCCCCTTTCATTGTCTTTGATTTGCTGGTACTTTCTTCTGGACGGGCCTCACACTGCGATTGTTTATAGACAAGAGATGTTCTGGTGATTAGTCTATTTCTTTTAAACCCATGGCTAGAGAGGGTCCTGTCTAATTAGTCTTCCTCCCACACCCTTCTACAATCACAAATCTTATTATGCCTGGCTCTTTGTAGCGAAAAAACATTCCAAAGTTGGCTGCATCTTTGAAAATACTCAAACAGCTGTACTGATCATACCCATTGTGAAGCATACATAACAGAAATACAAACATATTTTATTCTATTAGTCAAAAGGAACTTGGCCAGAGACAGGTCAGAATTGTAAGTGACACAATAGAGGCATTGTGGACCCCCACCCCATCTTATCCCACTGTAGTCAATGAACATGCACACTGTGAGAAACCATAGCTATACAGAATAACTGCAAGGAGCATTCCACTTATGGAACAGGATTTCATACTTCCACTGTTCTCTCTCCCCGCCCCCCACAAGCAAAAAGAGCTGAGGGGGTGTCTCTGAAATGCTGTTCCAGTGGCAGGAGCGGGTTGGGGGGTTGCAGCTGGAGGTAAGCAGTTGTTTGGATCCTGCCAATTCTTTTATCTCCAGCTCTTGAATGATGAGCTAAAACTGAAAGGTTATACAAAGATTAACTATTGCTTCTTTTTTGAGGCTGGTAAGGGTGGGACTTATGTTTCTTAAAATCCCCTTAAGTGCTCAGAACATCCTGTTCGTAACAAAGGATCAGGTCTTATTCAATTTAATGTTTTCTTCTTAATTTAGATTTATGGCGAATGCACAGCAGTTCTTAGCTTATGACTGTACCTTTGTATTTATTTATTTTTTAATTTCATGAACACAAATTCATGTATGTGAAGAAAAAAAAGCAATATTTGTATTCAATGTTTACATTTTGCATAATCTTGTGGAGCTGTATATGTACAGAATTGGTTCAATATGTATTATTCCTTTCAGTATGTTTTATTTCCATTGGGAGAGGCAACATCCTTTTCAGAGGCTTCTGTATTCAGACAAGTTCTTACTTGGATATAAGAAACACCATTCATTTATCCAAAATAAATTGGCCACAGTGTTCTCTGGAAACTGATTGCTTGTCGATCCTTTCTGAGAGGTATCAGTCCTCTGCAGATACATATATATTTGTTTCTGAAAATAAATTGATTTTACCTTGTGTAATCAAAATCTAATAAGTTTATTTTAATCTGTTTATGGTAATTGTGGTTGCTAGAAGCAAATTTCCAGGGCTGCACAGGCACACAATTTTTATGCAGCAAGGTTGAAGGCACAAAATATTCTTTCCCAGACACTCCCATGTTTATATTACATTTTCCCTAGCCCAGTACAGATCAAGCTTACCAAGGAGAAAGATTTTCTACCATGGGTTTGCTTAGTTACCTTTTTAAACAATAGTTTGGTGTGACGTTTCTGTCATGTATATGTGCTAAAGAGTGAGGAATATATGGAGTAGTGAAGCTTCCCCCACATTAATCAATTGTTAAATTTGTCTGCTCACACATAGATTACTGGGAATGTGATCTCTGATAATTGGGGATCATGTAGTGAGCATAAATATATTGCAAATCCAACTCAGAGTGATGGCATTGTTTCCACTGTCGCTCTGAATTGGCTTTGTCACTGTCATATTTTGTTCTATGTTGATGATACAAAGCTGGTTCAGAGGAAAGACAAGAAAATTGCCCTTGCTTGGAATGGGAACATAGCCAGCATTGGGTTATATAGTCTTAACAACGTAGGCACTTGCCAGCATTATGTCAGGCAGGCCATTCTTGATTCTGCACTACTCTCTGATGACTGCTTCAGATACAAATTAAACAAACAAACAAAGTCAGAGGTGGCTTGCACCTTCCATTGCTACTTCTGGTTATGGATCACTGAAAATAATGCTATTTTTCCTTCAGAGCTATTTTTTTTAATATGCAGATACCTAGCTGAATTAATTGACTAATGAAAACCATATGATTGATATTTCTTTTACTAGGTGACAGCCCTAAAACCCAGCAAAGCCACCATTTTCAAGTTACTTTCTTTTATGTACTTATTTAGCAACTGAAATGCATGAAGAAGGATATAAAACTTAACAAGGTGCTGAAAATGTTGTGGATCTTTTGTATATAAATTTCTTCTAGTTAGCAAATGGAATGACGTATATGTGCTTACAGTATTTGTAGTGATGTTTGCAGCTTTCTTTGTAAAAAAAAAAAAAGCACAAATATCTTTTGTCCTTCCGTTTCATTAACTTAGATTCTGACCATATAAATCATAGTATATGATACTCTTGTGATGGGACAGACCTTTCCTTCTCCTTGTGGTTGCAATGCCTGTACCCAACCCAGCCTTTTAAACAAACAGCTTGATCTACAGAAATAAGCAGGTGTGAGTTTTCATAACATGGAGCTAATATAATCATCTGCTAATTTTTGCAGGTCAGGCTACTGTCAGCTTGCTCTTTGCCTCATTTCATTTTAAGGAGGGGGATGTTTTAACCCCCACAAAACATGGTAAGTGGTGCATTTGCAGAAAAAGCTCACAGCTCAGTTAAGTGACCTTTACTCCCAGTGTGTGCATAGGATTGCAGCCTCCATTACTGTGTTGTTTCCAGAAGCCTGGATGCTGTGGGTTCTGGATATGACAGGACTGGTGTTACAGAGGAGAGGATAATTAATTTCCCATTTGATGTGGATTGGCTGCTCCTTTGGGACAGGGCATTTTGTTTTGTCTTACCTTTGTTTTGTAGCAAATGATCACTTTTGTCATGTGCTTCGAAGTTCTGTTTGCTTTTTAGTCAGGCTGCTTCTTCATCTTTCCAGAGCTGCAAAAGGGCTGCTGGAGTTCTCAGGCGGCTCTGAGGCTGCCAGCTGGCCATTCCTGCCCTCTGCCATTCTTGTGAATTTCAACATGTATCTGACCTTTCAGAACTCAGTTTGTGTTAGTGATTCTGAACTTGAAGCCTGGGGATACTCAGTTTTATCTTGCTATCCTTTACACTTGTCTATGTAGCTTTGAGAATTATCTAGAGAGATTCAGTATGTGAGCTTTAAAAGATATTTGATATTTTTAGCACATTTGCCCATCATAGAAATTGAGACTAGCAGACCATTTCCTGGGGGGGAAATGATTTAGCTGTACTATGATTTTGAGTTTGTTAATAATAAGCTATAGTTTCCATGACTTTAGTATCATTAAAATTCACTTTAAATAATTCACATTTCTGCTATGCAGTTATTGCTATTACATAGACCAGATAATGCTATAAGGAAATACTTAAGGGTTTTCTTATTGAACACTGCTATTAAAGCTGTAGCAAGCTCTTCAGGGTACACAGTTGTGCTTGAGAAAATGTGATTTGCAGATTTTATGCTGCGGAGGCATTTTACTGGTTGTAATCAGTATTACGTTTGTCATAATTATAACTGGCATTCCTTTGCAGTTGATAGTGTTCTCTGTTTTTCAGGTCCTCATGAGCTGGAGTATGCAAAACCGTGTTTGTTCGTTTTGAGATTTGAGGAAATATGAGTTTCACCCCTCATGTGGTGTAGATTTATAAAGGCTAAGTGGGCCCTTGCTACTTGCATGTGTGAAACCAGGAACTGTGCTCTTTCTGCTTTATTAGTAGCCTATTATGCCAGAGGGGATCTGACTGCAGCATCTGAGCAATCAAAACTATTCCTGTAACTCCTGGAATGAATAGAATGCATCCAAAACTTCATGCCGGGACAGTCTTTTCTAGTAGCGCCCTGTTTTTTTGGAGAGAGCCTAACAGGAAAGAGTTTCAATTTAGACCTCTATTAGATGTCTGCCATGTTTACTGAACATGAGGCTCTTATTCTGGGCCTCCATGGGAAACACATTTTCCCCGGCATTTCTTTAATCTCAGCTAGATAGGTGGTTAGGAGGCAGAGATCAAAAACTGACACTTCAGGAGTTTCCCTTTTGTTAGACTCAAAGGAGGGCTGCACCAAAGTGGCAAGAATTGGTGGGTGTGCATTTTAGTTGCAGAATCTCTTCTGTAACTGTGCAGGAATGTGACACACTCACTGGGCAGCAGAAATATTTAAAGAAACTGAGTTAGTTAAAAAATGCCTACCAAGCAAATGTTGAACTTGAGGAGGACTGGCAGTCTTCCAGCCCTGTCGGAGAACATACTGATACTTTCCCAAGAATAACAGCATAGTGGGATGCCTAAACTAATTTGCATAAGAACACTTCTGCATCCGGATCCTGCTAAAACTTTGTCCAGGTCTACAGAAGAGATGGAAAGTTTCAGACATGCAAGTAGGGGTGGCTGAATCTATCCATTTCTCTTTCTCTCTATTTCTCACTTTACCTGTTACTTTTCATTTTACGTTCAGTTGTCCACATTTCCATATTAGTTTGTGAATTTCTTTTCTCATGAAAATTCATCAGCATTTCAGTTCAAATTTCTCCTAGCATGCACAATTTCCCTTAATATAATGCATCATGGTATGTTATTTTGACTTGTATATGCATTTGTATGCATGCATTTTCGTACACATTACTTGGCTAGAGAACTGCATTGCAAATTTCGAAAAGTGTGAATTTTGAAAGATGGCTGTGTTTTTTCAGTATTGTTTTGGAAAGTGTGAATTAGAGAACTTCATATTTAAATGCAAACTGAGCCAAATTTCTATCCCATCTCAACATTCAAGACAGTTCAATTAACAGAACCGTGTTCTTATATGGTTGAGCTTCTTGCATGGTCAATTGTTCTTCAAGTCAGGAGTTCACCATATGTCTCCCTAACCTTGGCAATTTTACAGGGCAATGTTCATATGGATAAAAATGTTGTTGAATAAAATTTCCAGATATATTGAGCACAACCTAGCCTCTCTTTCACATTGAGCATGAATGTTTTGCTATTATTGGAGGAAAATTTTGAAGCTGCTGGTGGTATCTCAGGATAGTGGTGGATTAGTGTGGTTTTTTTGTGAGTGTTTTGGTGGGTTTTATAAACAAGACACGGGTGGCACTGTGGGTTAAACCACAGAGCCTAGGACTTGCCGATCAGAAGGTCGGCGGTTCGAATCCCTGCGATGGGGTGAGCTCCCGTTGTTCGGTCCCTGCTCCTGCCAACCTAGCAGTTTGAAAGCATGTCAAAGTACAAGTAGATAAATAGGTACCGCTCCGGCGGGAAGGTAAACGGTGTTTCTGTGCGCTGCTCTGGTTCACCAGAAGCGGCTTAGTCATGCTGGCCACGTGACCTGGAAGCTGTACACCGGCTCCCTCTGCCAATAAAGCGAGATGAGCGCCCCAACCCCAGAGTCGGTCACGACTGGACCTAATGGACAGGGGTCCCTTTACCCTTTACCTATAAATAAGAATAATGTTATATAAATAAGCATGCCAGATTTTCTCATGTCATTTGTATATCACAAAAATAGCATAATGTGAAAAATATCTACAACATACGTTTCATTATTAGTGATCAATGTATAAGTTCTTGGTTCATGAATTGGTTCAAACAATTAGGAAGAAGAAGAAGAGGAGGAGGGGTGAGGAAGAGGGGAAGGGGGAATGGTCAGTGGGGTTGGGTGGTTATGCTTCTATTCTACTTGGGGGGAGGGTGTTGTGTCGGCGTCACTTGTATGGTTTCTCTAACTTTTCACTTGTTGTATTTCCTTGGTGGTGAGAGAGGTTGGGGGTGGCCTAGGGTGTGGTTGGTTGTCTTTGGTTGGTTGTAGTGAGATTTGTTTTTGTGAGTGTGCATTTTTGAATCAGGCTAGCCAGATTGATTCATATGCTGTCGGCGGATTCTTGTTGTTGTTGTCTTGTTGGACTGTGTATGTGATAAAGGGGAACCATACCAGGGTGAAGGTGTCTTCTTCTATTTGTCAGTTTCAGTTTATTGGTTAGTTTTTCTAATAAGGCTGTTTCCCATACTATTTGATACCTTTGGTCCATGCTTCCTCCTGACAAGTCTCTCCAGTGTCTGGCTATGATGTTTCTGGCTGCTGAGAGTAGGTGGGTTATGAGCTCTTTGTGGTGTGAGTGGGCATTATTATCTTGGAAGATGTTTAGTAGGGCCAGTTCTGGGGTGACTTCTAATACTTGCTTAATTATTTTGCATATTTCTTGTATGATTGTTGTCCAAAAGAGTTGGATTTTAGGACATTCCCACCACATGTGGACGTATGTGCCTGTAGAGGTGCATCCTCTCCAGCATTTTGGTGAGGTTCCTAGACTTATTAGCATTATTTTCTGTGGTGTTAGGTACCACCTGTGAGTTTCAGAGTGAGTTCTTTTCTCTGATATGGATTTAAAGGGAGGTTTGGACCACATTCTGGTCTACTAGGTGGGGTTAATCTCATAGCCTACGTCGTCCTCCCATTTTTTTTTATTACATTGAGGGGGTTTGTGGGATTTTGGAGCAGTATTTTGTATATTGTGGATACCATCCCTTTGCTGTGTCCCTTTGTTGTTAGGAGGAGGTTTTCAAAGGTTGTCAAGGGCCTAGTTGCTGCTGATTTTACTACTGGGTCGTTTAAGAGGGCATGTAATTGGTGGTGTGTTACCCAGGGCATTTGGGTGTCCCCTAGTTTGTCTTGTATTTCTTGTGTTGATATGGGTTTCTTATTTTTGTAGAAGTCTGCTAGGCATTATAAGCCTTTGGCTTGCCAGGTTTTTATCTGGAGATTTTGAGCTGCGTGTTGGTGTGCCAGGGGGATTAGTGGGGATGGGGTTGGGGACAGTTTGCCTACTTCTTCTTTCCATGCTTTGAGCATGGTCTTTGTGAACATTGTGTTATACTTTTACACATCTTCTTCACCCCTCCCACCAAAACACCTCAGTGTAACAGTTGCCCAATAGACTGGAAAGCTTACTACAATTTTGTAACATTTTGGTTGGTCCTAATAAAGGTACTTCAAATTATGGAGTCTTTCTTTCAGACCAAAAGAACTACCTTCATTTTATTTGCTACTTGTTCAGCAGCCTCCTACTTAAACATAATAAATTCAGTTATTTGCATGAATTTGAATCATTCATGGGATGGGAAGCAGAAGTAAAAGGATTGCCCCCTAGGGAAGAGTTCTAACCCTGTTTATAATCAGGTCCATTCAGATTGGTTGCCCCTTTCCCAGTCATCTCCTTTCTCCTTTCTTCAAGACAGGCACAGTATTTTATTTTGTGCATTTACCACCTTCTGAGAATGTTTTATAATTAGGAGGTCATTGAGACTTTGACATTGTATTTAGGACAAAGGCTGTATTTGAGCATAGAAATGAGGAACTTGTGATTGGCTCACTGCAACTAGGTGTGCACATGTAAGGTATAATATAATTTATATGGTTAATTGGGCAGCATATAAACTCTGTAAATGAATAAATAAGTAACTATGTTTTGCTTTAACAGGGTCTTGGAAAAACTGACAGCATCCATGAATGGGCTGGTAGTCTCTCTAAAGTCCAGATTATTTGCAACATAGCTAGGAAAGGTAGGTTCCTTGTAATAACAGTATTAATCTAACAGAGTTTATAAGACTGTTTCTTCTGGTGTAGGTGGTATATTCAGGCGTAGGCTGGAGAAAGCAAAAGAGAGACTTGTGGTGCTGCAGTCCAAGGACAGTTTTGAAGTACCCTGCTGCTTTATTTTTGTAGTAATTCAGCTCAACATTGGTCTTTCGGGTGTCAAAAATGTTGAATCAAAACTCTAAAATCAGAAGCATATATTTCCTGGTAACTTCTATAGTAAGAAGATTGTTAAGAGGAACCCTTCTGCATCAGGCAAAAGACCCAGCTAGTCCAGAAACCTGTTCTCACAGTGGCCAACCAAATGTCGATGGGAAGCCCAGAAGCAGGACCTGAGTGCAAGAGCACTCCGCCCCCCAACACACACACTTGTGAGTCTCAGCAGCTGGTATTCAGAGGAGGCTGCCGTCTGTGGTGAAGTTCTTCTACCACCACCCTCTATTTACATTGAGGACTAAAACTAAAGCTATGACCATAAAAGACAAGCATTACTGGTCCAGTTTGACTGTCACATGAACCCAAGGTAGGCCTTTGTGAGGGGGTCTGTCCACCTTGCAGCATATTACATCAGGTGAATGAAACTTCAAGCTACAGCTGCAACTTGGAATTCCTTTTTGAACTTGGCTGTGCCAAGGAAAGGTGGGCAGTTTAATCTCAAACTGTCTGGCAGTCTTTATTAGGCCCAAGCATTGGAGGTTCCCCACCACTGCATTAAACCATTGTTTAAAACAAACAAACAAACACTGTTATATGCTGTTCAAAAGTCCCTATGGCGTTCCTTTCCTGCTGCTGCTGCTGTGCTGCAGATGAAGCAAGCCATTGTCATGTCATCCAAACCTGGCCTCGTGGTTTGTTTCTCTCCAAAGAACCCATGAAGGATAACCACTGATTGCTCTTGGCTTATTGCTAGTGGTTTGCTTAGAGTAAAATAAACTACGAGTTCAAGTTTGGATGGCATGACAAGCCAGGCTGTGGCTTGCGTCATCTGCAGCAGGGCAGCAAGCTGGAGAGGAGCTCCATAGGAACTGTTGAAAAGCAGGCACATTAATTCATAGTTCATTTTAAAATACGGTTTAATTAGATGTGTGAACCAGGACCCAGCTAATGAGTGGTCTGTCAGTCCAAGGCACCTTTTATTATTATCTTTTAGGTGCCGCAATGTCCTTTGTGTTCTTTTCTGCTTTTAATGGCATTTGATCTGGCTTTTAGGCTGTATACTCCCTCTCTTTTTCTGACATTTGACTGACTTCTACTCCAGTGTTGATCTGATGCTGTTCTTATTTTATGTTTACTGCTTTATTATTTGACTGTTATATACAACTTGTATTCAAATCCTTAGATAATTTTTTTTAAACTTTTCAGATGCAGTCTATATCTGAAAATGGAGATCCTCCTTCCGGAAAACAAAATGAAACAAAACAAAACGAGGAGAAAACGTACAAAAAGGTTTTTGTTGCATGTAACTTTTTCGGAAATATTGTACACTGGTACAGAACACTAATGTTGACACTTCTAATCCCCCCCCCATGAACTACACCAAAGCAGAAGATTTATTTCAAGAGTGGGGCAGTCTCAAATATCTTTTAGGGCTAGTTCACATGTTGTCATCTTAATATAGAGTTAAATTTACAGAAGCTTCCCTCCCAGTCGTGGCTAGCAGCCACATTTATTAATTTAGGCAGACCCTTTCTATACCACTTAAAATATAAAAATATCTCTTAAGTGATGCAAACTAAAGCAACAAATGTTACAAAAATACACAGTAAAAATGTTAATTCAAATTACTATTAAACATATACTGATACCTGTTCCTTCCACTTCTGACACACCTCCCCACTCAAAACCTCTCTGACTCCAGACTCTCACCCAGGACTCCATCAAGCTATGGCAGCTGTCAGCAAGGGCCCAAACCAACTCACAGATCACCCCTCAAAATCTCACAACAAACAGGGTCCTGGAACCTGCTGACAATCACCCTAGTCTCTCCTTCTAGTCTTGCTTTTATGCTAGACACCAATGAAGTTGATACAGGTTGCCCACAGCTGTGTCCCATTCAGCACTCAGCCAGCTGCACTGCACACATCTCATTCCTGGATGCAGCAGCCACACAAGCTGGGGAGAAGCCGCAACCTCACCTTGGCCTTCCTACCCTTCCCCATCAAGGAGGAAGCTTGTTGCCCACTCGCCTTCCTTTTTCTTGTTAGAGAAGATCACGGAAACCGCATCCCCGATCCTTTCCTTGTCCTCTCTGATGGCTGCTGTTGCTTGTTGTTACTTATCCAAAGTGCAGGTAGTAGCAGCCAATGAGAAGGCTTAGTAATCTTGGATTACTTGATTTATTTTTTTTAAAAAATGCACTGAAGGACTGCAAATGCACCTAAAGTTGTTATTTTGCATCCAGCCTGAGAGCCCCTCAGTTTAGCACACTGTCCTGTAGAAACAAACAAATCTAATATT